GGGGTTGGGATTTGGGGTTTGGGGTTTGGCAGTTGGGATTTAGGCTTTGAGATTTGACATTAGGGATTTAAAGTTTAGGATTTGGGATTTAGGATTTGGGATTTGGGGTTCGGGGTGCTCCTGGAGCATTCCCCGTGTCCCGAACCCGTTTGGGGTCCAGGATTTGGGAATTCCGGGGGGCTCTGTGCTCCCGGCGCTCCCCGACCCCGACCCCGACCCCGCAGAGTGCGTGGGGCTGCGCCCCGGGGACCCCCGCCCGCCACTGCACGGCCCCGAGGGCAACTTCACCCTCCAGTTCCACAGGTAACCCCAAAAATCCCCCAAATCCCCAAAATCCCGCCGGGACGGGCCCTTCCCGTCCCGAAAATCCCCGGGCGGGATTCGTGTTCCCTTCCCCAAATCCCTGCGGGGCGCACCCCAGAGTGTCCCCAAGTGTCCCCTGGGTGTCCCTAAGCATCCTAAAGTGTCCCCTGGGTGTCCCCAAGTGTCCCCAAATACCCCAGAACCTCTCCAAGTGTCCTCACATACCCCAAAGTGTCCCCCCAGTGTCCCCTGGGTGTCCCCAAATACCCCAGAGTGTCCCCAGGTGTCCCCTCGGTGTCCCCAGTGTCCCCCAAGTGTCCCCAGTGTCCCCCAAGTGTCCCTTGAATGTCCCCTGAGTGTCCCCAAATACCCCAAAGTGCCCCCCCCAGTGTCCCCTGAGTGTCCCCAGTGTCCCCTGAGTGTCCTTCTTGTATCCTCTCCTGTCCCGTTCATGTCCCTTTTGTGTCCCCCTCTGTCCCTCTGGAGGGTCCCTCTGGAGTGTCCCTCTGTCCCTCGGCTGTCCCTCTGTCCCTCTGCGGGCCCGGGGGGCAGCCAGCGAGTGCTGTGACAGTGACAGTGACAGTGACAGTGCTGTGACAGTGACAGTGACAGTGACAGTGCTATGACAGTGACAGTGGCAATGACAGTGACAGTGCTGTGACAGTGACAGTGACAGTGACAGTGACAGTGACAGTGCTGTGACAGTGACAGTGACAGTGACAGTGACAGTGCTGTGACAGTGACAGTGACAGTGGCAATGGCAATGGCAATGGCAGTGCAGTGACACAGTGACAATGGCAGTGCAGTGACAATGACGGTGACAATAACAGTGGCAGTGGCAGTGTAATGTCAGGGACAGTGACAGTGACAATGGCAATGACAGTGACAGTGACAGTGACAATGGCAGTGCAGTGATAGTGACAATGACAGTGACAGTGACAATGACAGTGACAATGGCAATAACAGTGCTGTGACAGTGATGGTGACAGTGACAATGACACTGACAATGA